TCAAGAGTAGACTCTGTCTCGCTTTGATTTGGGGTTCTCATAGTGGGTCAAAGGAGCTCTGATGGCACAGTGCCTAAGGCATTTGACTGCTAACCAGAAAGTTGGCAATTCAAACCCACCAGTTACTCCATGAAAGGAAGACTGGGCAATCTACTTCCGTAAAGATTTACTGCCTCGGGAACCCAAAGGGGGTTGCTATGAGTTGGAATCAACTCAGTGGCAGTGAGTTTGGTGTTTGATTTTTTATAGTGGGTCTAGAGTAACAGAGCATGGTCAGAGAATTGTAGCTGCACCTCAAATTGTGAACCGAAAGGTTTGTGTCCATTAGACACTCTTTTGTATTTCAAAAACATATTCAGTATAAATGGAAGGTCAGAGGTGAATGGACTGTGCTTTAAGTAAGTTTTTAACACAGATGCCATCTAGTCTTTGCAGTCTGAAAAATTCTTCTGTAAGTGAATAAATGTGTAAGGTAACTCTCCATTACCTTGATCAGCATCTAATACCAACCTGAACTCAGAATTAAATTAGGGAAACAAAATTGGATACTTTGAGAATTGAGGGCTGATTATACTACTAGAGCTAGGAGTAGATTTAAACTCTTTCCTTATCCCATTTAAATCTAACTAGGTATAAACTCTCCATTACTAAGGAATAGAGGTGTGTCTGCAGAGGTGGAGGTTCCCCTTGATGTTCTTTGGACAAGGAAACCTAATCTTTTCTTCTGCCACACATGGTTGCAATAGAAATCATTCCCCAACTGCCAGTCTGGTTTTAATCTATTGATTCTAGTAAAATGGGATTTGTAGGGAACGTTAAGGAGAAAGCAAAATTACCAGAACTTACCATAAAATGAAAGTGTTGATGAGGAATCAAATTTTAAACAAGTGTTCAAAATTGTAAGCATGAACATATGTAGACACACAGTACATGCTGTAAGTACACAACTATAAAAGTTTTTAATCTTAAGTATATCTAAAGTCTGCTTTCAATATGACATTTATATCTCATTTTACTAAAGTTTTTTTGGCTTACTCAAATGATAGCAGCTGATACAGTAAATACTGCCATTAAACACACTGGTGCTTTATTTAACCAACAACACTGTTAAAAGAGTGAAGCACTCCATCAGGGAATTTTACAGATAACTAAACCCACCAGCCACTCCTCGGAAGGAAGGTTGGGCAATCCTACTTCCGTAGTGATACTGCCTCGGAAACCCAAGGAGGGGTCGCTATGAGTCGGGGCCGACTCGACGGCACATAACAACAACAACAACAAACTTACCTCTGTGTAATCAAATCTTTTAAATTTCAACCACTTTGTATGGAAATAGTTTAAGAGTATATTATGCAGTCTTTTTCTTTAAAAGATATACTACATAACATATCTTTCCTTGATGATATAGGGTCACCATTATTAAAAATATTATTAACATATATATATGGCTCCTTTTAAAACAACAGTGGGTTTTTTAGTAATATTATCCCCAATATCAAAGGTTTCAGACTCTTCTGTTGGAAACATATCAGTCTCTGACCATTAGTTATCTAATTTGTCAAAGTCAAATTTAAAGTTAAATGATGTGCCTACTCTGTACAAAGCACTATACCAGGTGCTAAGAAAATACAGGTATGCATTGTTTAACATCCACCATATATTCTGTGAAATAGGATGTTATATGATTTAGACGTAGCACCAACACATCAAAACCTTATAGGAACCTGCTTCTGGTCATCCTGATTGCTGCTGCTGGAACTGCTGATGAAGGAGGAGGAATGGGCACCAGTACAGAGAGAGAAGCGGGAGGAGAGGGAGTAGAGTATGCTCAGCCCTGCCTGCTGTTCTGCCCCACTTGAGCAGCAGGAGCAGCCTGGATCCCCTCTGTGCTTTCCCCTCCAGCTTCTGCTGTTGCTGCCACCTCTCACCTAGAGGCTTGACAAAGCCCAAGAGCCCATGCCCAGAGGCATGTCCTCTGCCTCACCTGCCTATGTCCCACCCATGGTCCAGTATGAATTCATGGTCCACCCATGAATACTAAGAGTCTGGGTTTGGGGTCTTTAAACCCATTAAGGAGAAATAATGAACTAAAGGAGAATTGCTTTCCTTTTGGAAAAAAAACAAAACCTTATGGGACCACAGACATATACACGGTTGGGTGTTCCCTGAATAGATGTATAGGTATAGTGATGTATAAAACTTTACTAAAGTTTTTTTGGCTTACTCAAATGATAGCAGCTGATACAGTAAATACTGCCATTAAACACACTGGTGCTTTATTTAACCAACAACACT